ATGTGCATATCACTGACGTACTGAGTAATATACTTTCATTACTTACAAATGTTCGAAATAGTAAACAAAACACAGGGCAATTTTGAGCTGTACATAAATTACGTCATGCACGAAGGAAAGTGGAAGTTTGTAAAAGTTAACAAAAGACGGTCTCCTTCAGCCTTTTCACTTTGGCTGAAAGAAAAATGTAATGAAATCATTGTTCTTCAGTGTAAAAGAACTAAATTAAGAACAGCTGAACTGGTTTTAATGAAACTTGCTGTTTAAGAGACATTCAATGAGAGGATAACGTATCAGTAACTGTCGCTGTTAAATGATAAAAAAATATTTTTTTTATGATTTCATTCGATTTTCTGAACAAAAATTACGAAGAAACACAATGGTGAAGATTTTTTGGATGCTTAGAAATAAAATGTTTTCGACGATATTTTCCAGATTTTCAAAAAATAGTGCGGTATTCAGTCTTCAGGGAGTCTTTTTAAATAATATACTCTCAAACTTTCCCATTTTGTAGAGGATATCCAAAACGGTATAGATCTGCAATAACTCACGGGTTGGATAAGCTGTGATGGAGTAGCAAAAGTTTCAAAATCATGAAAAGCTGTTTTGCATCTACACCAAGAACGATCCGTTGCGTAATCGGCCGTTTCAACAAAGCATTTTGAAAAGATAGTATCAATGGAAAAGTTGTTCAGCAGAGTTGTCTCTGTTGGATAAGATATTTTCGTTATAGAGAAATGACGTCATTCCGAAGGTGTAGGTTCCGATATAGACATGAGTCAAGATTTTTTTTTTCGTTGTTTTTATTACTTTTCTAAACATTGATACCGATCTGCAAACCCAGTTACAGTGTGCATATTTCGCATGGCAGACGAAAATTCCTGATAGAATCGTTTGCCCGAATATTTTTTAAAACTTTCTTTTTAGGAAAGTTTTGTGTTATACGTCATTCGAAGCATTTTTCGCACTGATCTCGAATATGACCTTAGTATTTCTGAAACTGTTCTTGAGATGGAAAAGCTGGATTATTCCTGAAAAACCAAGAACGTTTTGGAAAGTCTATTGTACAGTTCAGGAATATTTTATGCTATCATCCGCTATCTGTGCTGATATGGTACCTTTAGAAGAAAATTTTGGCAAAGTTGACCAAGTTCAAGGGTGGGATGCACAGCGGGACTCATTATATGTTCTTCCTCACAGTTAAGAAACCAAATTTACTATAGACAGGCGTGTTTTGGGGCCAGTTTTCGGCTATGTGTTTTTCCACGTGTCTTCAGATTTAGAACAAAACGTTTTGTGCTATGAAATAGAGCATATCTTGGAGTATATTAACCCCTATTTGGCTCGAGAAAAGTATACTTTCAATTTTTCACCTAATATCCGATTGGATGCACTTGGAGTAATCAGAAATGTAGAGCAAACATTTTCTATAAAATAAGAGGTGAAACAGCTCTGTGCTATTTTTCGTTGGAGAGGGTGATGCTTTTTCCAACAAGCACTCCATCCGAGACGAACAGAGACTGGCTCGCGGGAGGAGAAGTAGTGGTAAAATGAGTACAGAATTAGAACAAAAGAACATACAGAGCTCGTCAGTCTCTTATTTTGTAGGAAAATGTTTATTCTATATATTTTGGCTATCCACGCTTTGGAGATTCATGTCAAAGTTTACAAAAATTGCGCAACACATCACTTTTAATGTAGGTGGAAAATCGACTTTTCATGACTCTTCTTGAGTGAAATTTTATCTTAAGCGTGTGCGCTGTGATGGTATAAAGGTGAAGTTTGGAATGAAAGTTTTTTTAACCTTTTTAAATAACACTTTTCTAGATATAGTTCTTATGAATGTTCTTGTCGTTGCTACTGTGCCAGAAAAGTTTTAGTGAAATTCCCATGTAAGTAATATCTGCCAGTATTATGGTTTATAATGAATAAAAGTTGAATCGGTTGAAAGTTTTATGCTAATTTTGCGATAGTTATCTCTCCCTGCAAGTTTTGAACATCCGATAAAATCTTTTTTTAAATTTTATGTTCATCTTTACCAAATTGTCATGGCTACAAGATAGAAACAGCATGAAAAAGTTGAAATCACTTTAAATAGAGTTTCTAGAAAACCATGACTTTTACATTTTCCGATTACTGAGGCAATTATTTTCCAAATTCGTATTTGTTAATGGACATTTTCCAAATGATTCCATCGTCTTCAGTACAACTAGGGCCACATTGTTCAAATAATGTCCTGACTGGATATTTAATTAAATTTCTAAAAAAATAAAAATTTCACTTTTTAAATCATGAATCTATCATGTTCTAGCTCTACTTGAATGAGTTATAACTTTTATGATAACATTGCTGTACAGTAAAAATGCGAAAGTATTAGTTTTCCGTCCACGAATATAATGACCTTAGATGTTTTTTGAACGGCCTTTGATAGAGAAACTATAATAAAGTTTGGATTTAGAAGATCTGAGCCAATTGCCATACTTTAAAATCAAATTAATATTCAAGATTGTAGATAGTATACTCTTTCTAATATGCTTCTCATGCGAATTCTAACCCCGTACTGCCTCACAAATACGAAAACAAACCCGCACTCTTCATCTCTTATGATTCGGTTTTTCTGAGGCATCGAAAATCCTTGTACTTTGTTGACCTTAGAAGTGAATGGAAATATAAGTTATCGACTATTCCTAAATTTGTGGCAATCTTTGTTTCAGAATCAAAGTAAAAAGTCATATTCTGTACTGTTGTTTTCGGCTTCGGGCATAGTTTAATAAAAAATTTAATAATTTTTTCTGGAATCAGTCATAAAACGGGAAATTGGTAATACGTAGTGGTCAAAAAATTGATTGATGTCATTTGTGTACAGCTCCTTAGTAGATAGTATGTTACTTAATGTAATTAAAAAATGTTTATGTACAATATATTATTTAGATATATTTAAACAAATAATTAACTTAGAAAATTCTATTGAGTTTGAATCAAAGGGGACTTTTCTTGTTATTGATTGTGCACATTATGCTGGTTCATATACGGGTAAATTGTTATCAAATGATGAAGTTTTCTATGAGACAATTATTAGGTATAGTGACGAAATATTCAAACAATATTTGGATTCGAAAAAACTATTTCTTAATGTAAATCTTAATCAAGCTATTACATATCTTATGGATATTCTACAAATATCACCAACTAAAATGTTCATTGATCATTCTGAAATAATAGATTATTTATTATTAATTTTACAACAACCGATTGATGATGATGATCAATCAGAACAAAATGTTATAGAATTAATTGCTTCAACAACAACATTAATATACAATTTAACAGATAATTCAAAACTTCTTTCAATTATCAAATATAAAAATGTTATTGAATTATTTCAGAAATTTTCTACGTCAAAAGATAAACGTATAAGTTTCAATGCCGAGATGATCGTTTGTGCGATAAATGAAGATAAAGCTGAACAAATAGAAGAACCAGAAAAAGTGGCAGACGTATTCGTTAGTTATCTTGCAAATTCAGTTAATGATGAATCACAACGATGCGAGGGTGTTCCATTGAAATCTTTATTAATGAGTTTGAAAAGTAAGCCTTCTCTACGATTTTTTGATTAAATTTTAGCTATAAGTCAGCTTTGGGGTGCTCATTACGAATCTGTGTAACCAGAAAAGCAGAATCTGCTGTCGTTACACAAAATGTAACAGGATGTTATGTATGAAGTGATGCATAAATGAAAGAAGGATGAAAAGAGAAAAAGATTGAACAGATTTTACTAAATAAAAGGAAAAAACTGATTACATTTGAATATTTTTTGCCACTATCCAAAGCTATGACGCTAACTTCTTCACTTTTCGTACTGAGACCACTTACTTTCTTACTTCAGAAAAGTAAAACAACTGAACAATACTGTTCATATCTGGTAAAGTTCAGGAAATTCAAAATGCAACACTTTTCATTTTTTCGATTTTTATATGTCATCTGATAGAGATCGTCCAACTAAATCCGAATATGTGTCTCTTAGCCCTCCGAAAATATCTTTTGTTGGTCAAAAATTAAAACTGTTCAACCAAAAGAGGTTATTGTATAACAATTTTTGTATAATAATTTTTTAAACCTGGAAAAGATGTTACAAAACTGAACAAAAGAAAATATGACTCGACTCGGACACGAACCCAGTACCATGACATTCCGTATCAACGTTCTAACCATCTGAGCTATCGACCGACAGCCTCCTCATATCGTCGTTCGCCTTACATAAGGAACGTATCCTTATAAGGATATCTGTTACATATATGTAACAGGTAACATCAGTTCGGATGATCAGTGTTCACTGCAGACTGTATAAATTCGAAAATATGAAATTTTAGTAAGGTTAAAGAAATTCAAAAATGCAGCACTTTTTAGTTTGTTGAAGTTTAGTTATTAGGGTAAAAACTCCACTTCTCCTCTCACCAAATGCTTCAACTCCTTTTTGAAAAAGAGATGGAGCCAATATTTTTGCATCGTTGTGATCATCAGATGGGCGGGGGAAAAGTTACGTATCCTTTTTACGAAAGTTGCTTGCGTTCCTGAGATAATACACTCTTTCTGCAGCCTCCTCTTTTGCACAAAATCGGGCGCCTGATCTGCGGATAAACAGTCAGTTTTCATTCAAATTTTATGAAAATTTGGTTTTACAGGTGAAAAATGGTGATGAATCCGATGCAGACATTTTCAGGATTCTGGAAAACTCATTAAAGGATTTTCAAGACACTCAGTTTTCAGAAAACTGTTTCAGAACCACTTTTCCCCAAATAATCTGGATCAATAGAGAATGGAATTCTGGACAAAATAAGGCTCTTCCAACCATTCCAGGATCTATTCAAGCTGTGAAATATCTAAACGATCCGTCAAAAAATCGTAGAGAAGGCTTACTTTTCAAACTCATTAATAAAGATTTCAATGGAACACCCTCGCATCGTTGTG